ATATTATGTTATAATATACAGTGTATACATTTGTTGATGGGGTTTTAAAAACCATTGTGAGAAATATATATCGATAAACAATGACCTCTTTTGGCCAATAAATAAACGAATTCAACAGAGAATTCTTATTGGAAGTTGGTAATAAATTCAATATAATATAAAAATCTTAGACAAACCTTTAACTGTATTTAATGATAAAGACGTTATCCTTGGGGCTACAAATTATTTTTTATTTACAATTTAGTTTAAGTTTAAATAAAACAATGATTTTGATTGGTTCATGCAGACTTGCATTTTACCAATCAATATAAAATAACAAACTTAGCCTATTCGGTCAAGGGTTTATGTGGAGCGGAGCATATCAGAAACTCTTGACTTGGGAAGATGGTCCGAGTTGTACTTGTCAGATTTCTAGATTTCTTTAAGAATTAATTAAGGTCATTACTTTCATATTAATTTTTGTTTCAAACAAATATATAAACTTCTGCGGGTGCAAAAATGGGCAGGATGGCGTCTGTGGTGCTATGGTTGGCCAAAAGGCTGCATGAGAATCAACATTTTTGTTAACGAAGTAACCACATGACTAAGCCTGCGACCAGTGACGTGTGGAATATGATTTGTATACTAATAATATGCCGGAGTATGCAATTTTTCGTTTCAGTGATTGATCTAGCTTTTTGAAAAATATAGATACATAATCATTGAATTTTTCAAATTTTAATAGTAACTACTGTCTTGAATTTCATTATTTATAAATCCTGGAGTTGCGCAATCTAATAACACTATAACAAAATTCGAGTTACCTCTCTTTAAACCCATACAAAAGCATAACTTATATATCGTTGCTAACAAAAAGGGGGGACGTGTGTTTAGTTTTATTGTCAGATAGAGGACATTTGATTTTACATCAGAATATGAATTGGTCTAGGTCGCATGTCTGAGATAAGGCTAATTATTGTGCACAATAATTGTGATAAATTTTCATTTCCACACCGGCTGCATTTCTCTCCTCTATCAATATTAGACGATTGATTTTTCTTTTATTTTGGTAGGCCTACTTTGAATTAGAACATTTCATTAAATGTAATAAATTAATAAAAATGATCATTTGAATGATTTCGGAAAATAAGAATTCAATCCTACGATCAGTATACATTTGCTTTGAATAAATTATTATTCTTTTATAATTTATATTATCAAAAGAGAAATAGTCAAAAAATTTTGTTTTAGCCTGTTAGTCCTATCGTAATCGCCAAAAAAAAAAATTCTTCGTGAAAAAAATGTTTTCAACATTTTCTCACAGTCTGAATATTTTAATAGCAGGATAACATCAGTGGTTATGAGGGTACACCTACTGTAATCTCTGCTGAGATTCTGCTGGGCTAGATATCTGGACTGTCGCCACGCGTCAGTCCCAATATCTAGCCCAGCAGAATCTCAACAGAGATTACACCTACTGTTGTATGTGGAACAACTGTGAGAAGTAAACGAAGTAACCACTCGACCAGGCCTACACCGTTACAACAGTAAAACAACATATCAATGTGAAAACTTTCTAATTATATGACCACTCAAACTCATCGTAAAAATATTTACCATATTAGAAGTATCATGTATATTTCATCTAATTAATTTAAAAAAAATTATTTTTAAAAAATTCCATTAGAAATTTCCAAAGTTTGAGGTTGTACATATCGACTGTTATTCTGTGTGGAACAAGTCCCAACATGTAATGCATTAATCTAAAGCAGATGTTTTCATATAAAGAAGTAAAGACCTTTAGATTTCTATAATCCACTGGCTTACATGCAACTTGAGTGGAGTCTATTTAAAAAAATAAATAATCATAAAAAGCTGGTGTGAAATATTTGGCTTTTGCCGTTAATTTTTCAACTGTTGTTGATTATGCGTTTTTTAAAAAAAACTAAACAAAATTGTTAACTGATTAAAGTGATCAAAGTGTCTGTGGAAACTAAAATCCAGAATTAACTAATCATTTATGTAACGTAATATTACTTCTATATGTTTCAGGTATCAGTCATCCTTAGTTAATTAAAGATTTACTCAGTGGATGATGGTTATCATTTATGACTGATACCTTCTCAAATTAACTCAAAGTCAGTCACATTTTCTCAATGTACATAATGTAGTGTATAATAAAGGAAATAAATTCTGAAATAAACTAAATAATTTTTTTTGTAAACATATAGGTCAAATTTTATTGTCTGCAAACATCCCCAGTTGAAAAAAAAAGTTCAAATAATGACTCCCAGCAGTAGGGTTAAACCACAATAAAGCATTAAAATTTTAAATGAGAATATTGAGAATAAATCTGAGAACTTTTCATTGAGAATAAATCTCAGAAATTTTCTCAAGAAACAGTAATGCTTGTCCACATCTATATTAAAATAAGCACACTAATATTTTAAGCAAATTTTATTTCTTAGTTCAAGTAGTTGTATTTTTTTCAATTCAACATACTTTGTATAAATGTCATCATAAGTGTAACAAGAGGCCGAGGGTCCACATCGCTCACCTGAGCACATCGGTTTGGAAAACACACAAATCAGATTAGAAATGAAAAGTTTACTGAGAGGGTGGGGGTGGGGGAGGGGGATTGTATTCTAATACTGCTTGAGAATGCTTCCATATCAATTCTGCATATAACTTTGAACAAGAAAGTTCTTGAGAAAAAGATTTTTATAGATTTCTTTAACAATTTGTTTGTATATACCGGTATTACTTTGTAATAATTTGAATTTGACTCCCCATCATTTCCCTTCCTACCCCAAAGGGTATCTATGATTTGAACAAATTTAAATCTTCAATACATGAAAATGCTTACATGTCAATGTGACTTAAACCACCATTGAGACCCTTCCCTACCCTTGGAGGTTATGATGTGAGCAAATTTAATTCTATATTACATGTACCTGAGGATGCTTCCATATAAATATCACTAATATGGCTTTGCTATTCTTTAGAAAAAGATTTTTAAAAATATATTTTAATGTAAAACTTGGATCCCCTATTGTGGCCCCACCCTATTCCTATGGGGTTATGATTTGAACAAACAAGAATCTACAGTATCTGAAGATGCTTCCATAAAAATATCACTAATCATGGCTTTGCAGTACTTGTGAAGAAAATTTTTAAAGATTTCCCTCTATATTCCTATGTAAAACTTTGATCAGCCATTTTGGCCCCAACCTATCCCCGGGGGTCATGATTTGAACAAACTTGAATGTACACTATCTGAGGATGATTCAACATGTCAGTTTCATTTTTCCTGTCCCAATGGTTCTTGAAAGGAAGATTTTTTCTATCTATTCCTTAATGTAAAACTTTGATCGGCCATTGTGGCCCCGCCCTACCCCCAGGGGCCATGATTTAAACAAACTTGAATGTACACTACCTGAGGATGATGAAATTTGAGTGTCATCTTTCCTGTCCCTATTGATCTTGAGAAATATTTTCAAAGATTTCTCTCTATTATTCCTATGTAAAATTTTGATCGGCCATTGTGGCCCCACCCTACCCCGGGGCCATGATTTCAACAAACTTGAATGTACATTATCTGAGGATGATTTAACATGAGTTTCATCTTTCCTGTCCCAATGGTTCTTGAAAGGAAGTTTTTAAAGATTTTTCCTATATATTCCTATGTAAAACTTTGATCGGCCATTGTGGCCCCACCCTACCCCCGGGGGTCATGATTTGAACAAACTGAAATCTTAACTTCCTGAGGACGATTTAAGATGAGTTTCTGTACTTTCATCTTTACTGGCCCAGTGGTTCTTGACAAGAAGATTTTGTAAAAATTCCATCAATTTTTCACTAATTTATAATTATCTCCCTTTGGAAGAGAATGTGGCCCTTCATTTGAACAAACTTGAATCCCTTTACCCAAGGATACTTTGTAGCAAGTTTGGTTGAAATTGGACCAGTGATTCTTGAGAAGAATATGAAAATGTGAAAAGTTTACAACAACGCCAACAACGATGACGACCACAATGACGACAGACAACGGACATTTTGGCTCAGGTGAGCTAAAAATGTTAGACTTTTTTTCATATAGATTTGTATGGTAACAAATTTTTAAAGGTATAACAAATTAAGTTGCATATATATAAAAATAATGATTTTGCATTCATTTCAGCAAAACACCGCTAGATTATTGAAGATACCATTTGCTAGAAATTGTTTGATAAGATAATTGATGCATTGTACATACCGTATGAACTGATATTTTACAATGATTTTTAAAAGTTTGATCATTTGAGTGTTCATTAAATTAGCACTCCATAGCACGCACATTCAGTAATGCATTGTACATATAAACACCAAACCTTCTCCTCTGCTTTTAAGGGCTTGGAACCTTCTGCTTGAAATAACAATTGTTAATTCAAGCAGGCAGCATTAAAAGTTTTGTGCCTTTTTTCAGTTATTTTCATTTTCTTTCTATCTCTCTTTTTTTTTTTGTTGTTGTTTTTGTTTTTGTTTTTTTTTTCTCTCTTTTTTTAATTTTTTTTTCACATATATATATATTTTTAATTTTTTTTGTTTTTTGCTTTTGTTTTGTTTTTTTTTTTTTTTTTTTTTTTTTGCTTGTTTTTTTTTTCATTCTTTTTTCTTTTTGTTTTTTTTTTAGCACAAAACTTGCCAATGAGATTAAAATAATTTCACATTTACAATTCAAAATTCCACACTAAAATTCACAATTTGACACATCAACAATTCACAATTGCATTAAAATATATCACAATTTAACATTTTTAGAGGCAAATCACTATATTACACTTTCAAATACAATATTATATATATTTCTTTCTGAATATTTAGTCACAGCAGTATATTGACTAATTGAGGGATTCAATTTCACAATAAACTATAATAATGAAAAGGTGACTATACAAATTATTCTTTCTACAACAGCTGACAGAATTTACACATTCTATGAATACTTATGTCATATTTAACAATAGAATACTTATGTCATATTTAACAATCATTACATCTGGAACATATTTAACTTCATCAAAACAATTACAATAACAAACTGTTATCTCATTGGCATAATAATAAAAAGATAAAGACAAAGCAACCTCCAACTAGTCCCTTTCAGCTTCTCCTCCCCGGGCCAGCCTGGCAACCGTGGCGGTGAAGGAACTTAAGTTCCAGCCAGTAATGCCCCAGGGTATCGTAAAAACCTACTTACAACTAGCCTTCAACTACTTCATCTTAACAATATGAATATAATTAGCTAATGATGAAGAAAAAGAAAAGCAGGGGGTCAGTGTGGGAGGAAGACGGAGTACCCGTAGAGAACCCACGTGTCCGAATGGGCGACCCCATACCCTAACATAATTCGGACACCCTTTACAAAAATTTATATTTTTAAAAAAGTCTTTGAAAAAAACATTGTATATAAAATGGATTTACATCAGTGCTTTGAAGATGTGGATTAATCCTGCATTGATTAAGTCCTGCTTCTTCATCCACACATATGATCTCAAGGATGTTCCTTCTAAAAGTTTCTTTGATTTTCTGTAAATGAACAAGGCAAGAGGTAATTGTCAGGTTTGAATAAAAAAAATTAAGAAGAGACCTTTAAGCTACATTGCTCACCTGAGCTCTAAAGGTAGGAAAAAGTACAAATCAATACAGTACTTTAGATCACCGTATTTTCACAACACCTTAGTATAGTGACTTAGCTATTTGGTATTAATTAGTGAAACAACATTTTCGCTAGCTATTGTTTCTGTTGTTTATAAACATTAATAATACAAATATACACGAGAATAAATTTTTCATGAGCAGACAGTCCCTTTTGAGAAATTTTCACTCATATAGCACTGCAACATTTTTCAGGGGAGGGCTACAAATGTAGACCTATACTTGGTATTGAGGCTATTGAGCAGTGAGGGATTTTTTTTTTCACCTACTGCAACATGGCATCACTGTTTATACATTCTCAGTAAAAAAAAAAGCGGTCTTCTTGTCCCACAGTGGGATTCAAACCCACAATGGTAGGATCAACTCCTTACTATGCTACTCTATAGCAGATGCTCTTAAATACCACTGTGCCATGCAACAACAACAACAATGTGAAATTTAATTAGAATTTCACACATAAATTATTTCAAATGTATCATTCTCGAGTATTATTGGTATGAATTAAGAGTCAGCATATATGGCTGAACACCATTACAAAATCATGCTATATATATTGCCGACTACAAAAAAAGAGTCCTGGACTAAAAATTTGGTCTACTAGTTAACTAGACTTTGCTTAATATAAACAATGAGATGATTTGGAATATGATAATGTTATATACCTGATCAGTATCAGTTATCCACTGTGGTATGTCTTGGTGGAAAAGTCCACATCCATCAGGCATAAATTGTCCTCCAGGTGTTTCCACCAGGTCTTGTTGGGGATATCTCCTGTTTCCACATTTTGAAGATCATTGTCCATCAAGCTTGTCTGTGTTTATTGTTTCCACCAATTCCTTTTGGGTGTAGCTGGTGTTTTCACATATTGGAAATTCATTGTCCATCGAGTTTGCCTCAAGATTCATAATGGCCTTGCCTCCTCAAGATTTATTTCACCAAGTCTTTTTAGAAGTATTTGCTGTTTTCCCTTCTTTCTGCCAATTTCTTTAGGTGTAGCTGGTGTTTTCACATATTGGAAATTCATTGTCCATCAAGTTTGCCTCAAGATTCATAATGGCCTTGCCTCCTCAAGATTTATTTCACTAAGTCTTTTTAGAAGTATTTGCTGTTTTCCCTTCTTTCTGCCAATTTCTTTAGGTGTAGCTGGTGTTTCCACATATTGGAAAACCATTGTTTATCAAGTTTGCCTCAAGATTCATAATGGCCTTGCCTCCTCAAGACTAAGTCCTTTTAGAAGTATTTGCTGTTTTCACTTCTTTCCGCCAATTTCTTTAGGTGTAGCTGGTGTTTTCACATATTGGAAACTCATTGTCCATCAAGTTTGCCTCAAGATTCATAATGGCCTTGCCTCCTCAAGATTTATTTTACTAAGTCCTTTTAGAAGTATTTGCTGTATTTCCATCTTAAAAGAGGTTCATCAAGCTTTTCTATTCCAGCAGTTTCCACAAGGTTCTGTTGGCTGCAGCTGCAGTAAGAGTCAGAAGAAAATAAATGGAGAAAATACATCACTGAAGTTTTTTTTTAGGAAAATCCTCTATTAACTTTTTTAACAATTGTTATGTTGTCTCAACAGTGGTTTAACATATATGCTTTATATTATTAAGCAAACATTCAATATTGGTGTAAAGAGTTGGTTTATCTAAGTGAACATCATAACAAAAGTCAGGTATTGCTGATTTTAAGAAACAAGATCAGCTAAAATTTTAGCCAGCTAGTTAACTTGACTTTGTTAATAAACTGATCTTAGATTCAATAATGTAACACACCTGATAAATGTCATATCAGCATCCTTTGGCTATTCATCCTCCAGTTGTTTCTATCAGGTCCTTTTGGGTTCATCTACTGTTTTCACCATGTATTCTTGGGTGCATTTGCTGTTTCCACATCTTGGAAGATCAGCAAGTACTGGCTATGCATCATCCAGTTGTTTCCATCAGTCTCCAGTTGGGTGCAGGTCTTGTTGAGGACATCTGCTGTTTCAACATCTTGGAAGATTAGCATCCATTGGCCCTACCTCCTCCAGCTGTTTCCACCATGTCATGCCCTAGCTTGTTTACAATCGCAAGCCTTTTCGTCTCTGACCAGTAGACCTAAAAATAAGCCAGGCTAAAAATAATACGTCAGCTAGTAAATTTGAAATGGTTAATTAAATGATCTTTAATCATGATTTTCTCATAAACATGTACCTGATCAGTGTCAATTATCTCCTTTGATATGTCTTGTTTGGAAGGTCAACATCATCAGGCAAGTCTCCTCCAGTTGTATTCACCATGTCCTGTTGGGTCCATATCTTCTGTATCCACCAAGTTCAGTTGGGTGCATCTGCTGTTTCCACCAAGTCTGAGGAGTGCATCTACTGTTTCCACCAAGTCCAGTGGAGTGCATCTTCTGTATTCAACAAGTCCAGTGGAGTGCATCTTCTGTATCCAACAAGTCCTTTTCGATGCATCTGCTGTTTCCACCAAGAACGTAGGGTGCATCTGCTAAAAATATCAACAGCTTTATTTCACTGCATGCATTTTACACTGAAAATACCCTAGTCAGTCCCTTTCACCTAAGATTTCGTTTCCTTAATTTCCTAGATTTACATAACTTTTATTCTGTTTCTTAAATTTTTTGTCTTTAATTTGTTTAAAATGAATAAATAATAAAGGTGACCATTTAATAAAGTTTTATAGGATATTTCATTGAAAAAATAAAATGACCACCTAAGAAAGATCTCTGCTGTATAAAGATGATTACTATGAATTTGGCTGTATATATCATCGATTTGAAATGGAATATTATAAAGCTATAATCTAAAAATAATACTACATTTTAGTTTTCTATATACAGCAAAACTCGTTAAGTATGAACACAGATGTTGCCAAATTACGGTTATAGCGAAGTTAACTTGGACCTCCCAGCTTAATAAATTTAACAAATTCCTTATACGAATATAATGAATTATGGATAAAGTGAAGTAATTTTACAGGTCCCGGTGACTTTGTTTTAACCGAGTTTTACTGTATTTTTCAATTATTATCAATTCAATATTTTCTATCTTACCTTATCAATGATGGTTTAGAATTTGGCTTATTTCTCTTCATCTTTAGTGAACACTGTCCAACTATAAAATACTAACAAAATTTTAAAATAGAGCTGAAATAATAGATACAGTAAAACTCGTTTGGTACAAACACAGATATTGTGAATTCACAGATATAGTGAAATTATCTTAATCCCTAGCTATAAAAATTTTATGAAATCATTTCACAGATATAACAAATTATGGATATAGCGAAGTAATGTCATAGGTTCCAGCGACTTTGTTAAAACCAAGTTTTAATGTAATAAAGCCCTCAATAAGACAGACGCTTTGGGTGAAATACACTGTTTCCTCCTTATCCAAAATGTCTAATGTTGATGCTAATGCACAACACCACAATAAACATTAGACATATTCTTAGAAATAATAAATGCAATATCAAAAAAAGCTCAGAACAATAATAATTAACATAAATTCATAACTATTATAACCAATAACAAAAAATCTCAACTAAAGCAAATAACTAAAACTCATACTTAAAACAAATAACTAAACTCATAACAACTAAATAAAACTCATAACAATAACAACTTATAACCAACACTCACAACAATAACAAATAATTAAAAATCACAACAAAAGCAAATAACTTAAGCTCCTAACAAGTAAAACTCATGACTGCCTCAAAAACAAATAACTGAAACTCATAACGTTGTCAACTAATAAAAACCTTAAAAACATAATGTAACAAATAACAAATAAAACATGAAAATTAACAACTTTAACAACCCTCATAAACAAAAAACAATAATAACAACTCAATAAACAAAAAACAATAATAAAAACCTAATGAACAAATAACAACAAATACTAACAAAGAAAACAAAATAGAAATCAAAAGTAAGAACTAAAATAACAGAGACCTGACATCAAAATAATACAAAGAAAACCTCCAGTCCAGCGTTGTTGGCATGCTGTTCCAATCATAGTCCTCCAACGATGAAGAGCCAGCCGTCTCCAACTGCACCATTTCCAACGATGATATCCCGGCAAAGAGAGAAAATAGAAGATTAGACAAAGAAAAAACAACAGAACAAAAAAACAGAAAGAAAGAACTACTAAAAAATATGTGTTGAGAGTGGGGGAGGGAAGGGAAATGTTAGTACAAATTAGTAAGAGTGCATAAATGATAATGAAACCAACTCACCTTTGCTTTTCCTTAACAACTTAACAATACCTCTACTCCAGCGTTGTTGGCATGCTGTTCCAATATGCCCAGCCTCCTCCAAGTCCTCCAACAATGAAGAGCCAACCGCCTCCAACTGTACCATTTCCAACGATGATATCCCGGCAAAGAGAGAAAAGAGAAGATTAGACAAAGAAAAAACAACAGAACAAAAAAAAACAGAAAGAAAGAACTACTAAAAAATATGTGTTGAGAGTGGGGGAGGGAAGGGAAATGTTAGTACAAATTAGTAAGAGTGCACAAATGATAATGAAACCAACTCACCTTTGCTTTTCCTTAACAACTTAGCAATACCTCTACTCCAGTGTTGTGGGCATGCTGTTCCAATATGCCCAACCTCCTCCAACGATGAAGAGCCAACCGCCTCCAACTGCACCATTTCCAACGATGATATCACGGCAAAGAGAGAAAAGAGAAGATTAGACAAAGAAAAAACAACAGAACAAAAAAACAGAAAGAAAGAACTACTAAAAAATATGTGTTGAGAGTGGGGGAGGGAAGGGAAATGTTAGTACTAATTAGTAAGAGTGCACAAATGATAATGAAACTAACTCACCTTTGCTTTACCTTAACAACTTAGCAATACCTCTACTCCAGCGTTGTTGGTATGCTGTTCCAATATGCCCAGCCTACTCCATCGATGAAGAGCCAACCGCCTCCAACTGCACCATTTCCAATGATGATATCCCGGCAAAGAGATAAAAGAGAAGATTAGACAAAGAAAAAACAACAGAACAAACAAACAGAAAGAAAGAACTACTAAAAAATATGTGTTGAGAGTGGGGGAGGGAAAGGAAATGTTAGTACAAATTAGTAAGAGTGCACAAGTGATAATGAAACCAACTCACCTTTGCTTTTCCTTAACAACTTAGCAATACCTCTACTCCAGCGTTGTTGGCATGCTGTTCCAATATGCCCAGCCTCCTCCAACGATGAAGAGCCAACCGCCTCCAACTGTACCATTTCCAACGATGATATCCCGGCAAAGAGAGAACAGAGAAGATTAGACAAAGAAAAAAACAACAGAACAAAAAAACAGAAAGAAAGAACTACTAAAAAATATGTGTTGAGAGTGGGGGAGGGAAGGGAAATGTTAGTACAAATTAGTAAGAGTGCACAAATGATAATGAAACCAACTCACCTTTGCTTTTCCTTAACAACTTAGCAATACCTCTACTCCAGCGTTGTTGGCATGCTGTTCCAATATGCCCAGACTCCTCCAACAATGAAGAGCCAACTGCCTCCAACTGTACCATTTCCAACGATGATATCCCGGCAAAGAGAGAACAGAGAAGATTAGACAAAGAAAAAACAACAGAACAAAAAAAACAGAAAGAAAGAACTACTAAAAAATATGTGTTGAGAGTGGGGGAGGGAAGGGAAATGTTAGTACAAATTAGTAAGAGTGCACAAATGATAATGAAACCAACTCACCTTTGCTTTTCCTTAACAACTAAGGAATACCTCTACTCCAGCGTTGTTGGCATGCTGTTCCAATATGCCCAGCCTCCTCCAAGTCCTCCAATGATGAAGAGCCAGTCGATTCCAACTGCACCATTTCCAACGATGATATCCCGGCAAAGATAGAACAGAGAAGATTAGACAAAGAAAAAACAATAGAACAAAAAAACAGAAAGAACTACTAAAAAATATGTGTTGAGAGTGGGGGAGGGAAGGGAAATGTTAGTACAAATTAGTAAGAGTGCACAAATGATAATGAAACCAACTCACCTTTGCTTTTCCTTAACAACTAAGCAATACCTCTACTCCAGCGTTGTTGGCATGCTGTTCCAATATGCCCTGCCTCCTCCAACAATGAAGAGCCAACCGCCTCCAACTGTACCATTTCCAACGATGATATCCCGGCAAAGAGAGAACAGAGAAGATTAGACAAAGAAAAAACAAACAGAACAAAAAAACAGAAAGAAAGAACTACTAAAAAATATGTGTTGAGAGTGGGGAAGGGAAGGGAAATGTTAGTACAAATTAGTAAGAGTGCACAAATGACAACGAAACCAACTCACCTTTGCTTTTCCTTAACAACTTAGCAATACCTCTACTCCAGCGTTGTTGGCATGCTGTTCCAATATGCCCAGCCTCCTCCAAGTCCTCCAAAGATGAAGAGCCAGTCGATTCCAACTGCACCATTTCCAACGATGATATCCCGGCAAAGAGAGAACAGAGAAGATTAGACAAAGAAAAACAAAAGAATAGAAAACAAAACAAAAGAACTACTACAAAATATGTGTTGAGAGTGAGGGACGGGAGGGAAATGTTAGTAATAATTAGTAAGAGTGCACAAATGATAATGAAACCAACTCACCTCTGCTTTTCCTTAACGACTTAGCAATACCTCCAGTCCAGCGTTGTTGGCATGCTGTTCCAATCCAATATGCCCAGCCTCCTCCAAGTCCTTGTAACATCATCTCCAACGATGAAGTCTACGCAAGGAGAGAACAAAGAAATCCATTCCAGCGTTGTTGGCAAAGTCTGAGTTCATGTCATTATGTCTAATGTTAATGACTCTCTATCCCTAGAAAGTAAACTTGTTAGACTGAATGCTATTGAAATTTATAAAGGGCATTTTGGTGCTGTTATTCACATGTCTTTCTCACCATCAAAATAAGGTACAGTGTACATGTATCTGGTCTGACAAAATATTGACTGGTCTGAAAGAACATTCAACTTTAACGGATCAAATGTCTGACAGCGATTAAAAAATTTCGACAAGTCTGCATGGTCATCATAGGGTTCATAGTTATACTTGGAAATGAGAACTGCACTAAAAACATTAACCTGTTCACTTATACAGAAAATGTAGGTCAGATCCAGCATCCGAAGAAAGTAATAGTCTGTTGTATGCATCCTTATATGTATCATTCATGCAAGTTTGGTCATCATAGGGCTCACAGTTACTTGGAAATGAGAACTGCACCAAAAACATTAAGCTGTTCACTCATCCAGAAAATATAGGTCAGATCCAGCATCCAAAGCAAGTCTGGAAGCGTGCATCCTTAGATGTATCATCCATGCAAGTTTGGTCATCATAGGGCTCATAGTTACTAGGAAATGAGAACTGTACCAAAAATATTTACCTGTTTCACTCATCTGGAAAATATAAGTCAGATCCCGCACCCTAAGCAAGTCTGGTTGTATGCATCCTTCGGTGTATCATCCATTCAAGTTTGG